GAGCTGTAGGAGGGTTCTCTGGGCTGGGGAATACCCTAACTCTGGGAGTGTGCAGGGTGGGGTGAGGTGGGAGGGGGGCGGTGGGACCCTAGAGGTATGTGTTTTTCTGTGCAAAAGAGCACTCGTGCATAAAGGAGGCCTCAAGTTGTGTTGGCTCAATGAGTGTGCAACTGGCTAATGCAATGATCCTAGGAATGGTGGGGAGTGGGCGGGTAGAGGTGGGTGTGCAGAGGGTCAAAGGAACAGGGGCCTAACCTGACACGCGTGCAAAGTGAAGTGCACAGAGCGGAGACTTCAGAGCGGCCCGGGGGACAGTGAGCTACCAGGCCTCGAGTGTCAGCGCTGTAGTTGAGGCCCCAGCGTCGGTGGAAAGTGTGCAAGTGAGTGAAACCAGAGGCCAATGCCCGAGTAGGCAGAAGGCACTTGAGTGTGCCAATGAGTGTGCTAGCTACGTGGCTGGATGGGTGCAAAGACACAATGACCCAAAAGAGCAAGGAGCGTGCAAAGAGTGCAGGAACACAAGAGCAGAAATGAGTGAAGGGCCCAGATCCTGACTGTGGCACGTAAGTGTGCTACTGTGGCTGGGGGAGGGGCAAGCCAGAGTGAGCAGAGGGTGAGGAGCGAGTGTCAAAGGTATACACAGGGGCACGGAAGTGGCGTGTGTGCAAAGCTAGGGCCCAGGGGAATGCGCGTTCGAAGGTGGGTGTGCAGAGGAGGCGGCTGTGGGGAGGCCGGAGGCAGCGCAGAAGGCCGCAGTGCGTGCGAGGCGAGGCGGAGTGCCTGGATCCGGCGAGGTGCAAATGGGCCAGGCTGCCAAGAGGGAGGTTGTGCCAGGGGGTGGGTGGGCACACACTCCTACAGGGGGCAGGTGGAGCCGGGGGCAGGGCTGCCTCCTGCCTGCACGCTGGCTGGCACCTCACCCCAGAACGGCTCTGGCCCTCCGCGCTCCGCTGGCAGGGAGCAGGCGGGAGGCCCAGGAAAGGGAGCGGGCTGCCTGCCCACCCGCCCGCAGGGCTGTGTGTGTAAGGGGGCTGGGCACGCGCGTCCCGCCAACAGCAGCAGCTCGAACCGCCTGCCAGGCCGGGCTCCTGGACACTCCCTCCCGCCTCTCTCCTCCCACTCCCTCCCTTCCCTCTACAGTCCTCCAGCTCCGGATCCACAGACGGTATCAGGACCCGAGTAAGTGTGGGCCCTGCACGGGAGGGGATGGCGGCCCCTCTCCCCCGGGGCCCCCTGGAGCGCAGCTGCCGGGTTTCCGGGCTGGTTCCAGAGCCCCAGTCCCTCTGCCCTGGAGGCACGGAGACCCATCCTCTGGAGGTCCCAGGAGTACAGGTCCCCTGCACCCCACCCCTCGGAGCTCCTGGGTGTCCCCACTTCCAGTGAAATGCGTGCACCCAGAAGAGAATGCTCCCCGCTCCACCTTTGGTGCACGCACGAGTCTCAGGACGTGGCTTTCGGCTTCTCTCTCTCCTCAAGGCCAGGAGTCCTGGCCCCACCCCTGTTCCAGCAACCCCCCAGATCCTTGATCCTCAGCCACCGCACCCCTTGGGGACTGAGGCCGGGATTCCTGCCTTTCTGGAGCGTGGAAAAGTCTGGCTTTCCAGCACTTCTGCCCATAGAGCCACAAGTCGGGGCTCCCAGCTCCCAGCACTTGGGTTTCACTCCCTGTCCTGCTGCCCCACATGGGGGTAGGGGCGGGGGTGGGGGTGACCGAGGCCTCCGGGACCCTCCTTCCCACACAGCCTCTTCCTCCCGGCCTGGCTGGCTGCCTGAAGGCCTCGCGGGGCCCTTCACCACCTCTCCAGTCTCCGACCCAGATCCGTGGATCTCAGCCTCAGGCCCGGCTCTGGCCCCCATCCCAGCCTCGCCCTCCGGCCCCGCCTCCTTCCTCTCCAGTCCTGGGGTCCTGCGCCCTGAGCCCAGACGCTGCCCTTGGAGGCCCCTGAGGAATGTGAGTCTGCACCAGAGTGAGGGGAAGCCCCGCTGGCAGTCAGGCCTTGGTCCTCTGTCCTGCTGGCCTCTGCCCCTCGCTGGTGGTGTCAAGCTGACCCTCTACTTCACGTGGGGCTGGGCGGGGAAGGAGGAACAGGGCTGCGGTAATGACATCACACCTGCTTTTCCAGGCGACTCCCAAGACCTCCCAACGCTGGAGGGA